GGCTGCCTGGATCCTGGGTCTGGTATAGACTACTTGAACCCCAGATTAGCCATGTCTCCCACTGTGGCTTGGGCATCATCTACCTGGGCACAGGCCTGCCTGGTAATTGGTTTAGACTTTTCTCCTACTGTGACTTAAAGCTGCCTGAGAGTTGCCTTGACGGCTATTTCGCACCGTCACCACCCATGGCTTAGGTTAGATTGCCGTTTCACAGAATTGCCTGAGTGTTGATCTGCTCTGGGTTCTTAAGGTTGTTTGCACACTTTATCTTTGGCCTACCCTGGTTTGTTTGTGCTCAGAGCCTCTGTAGAATCTTGACAGTCTTTTTGTATAGTCTTGGATCGAATGGAGGAACATTTATGGCTGTTTTCCTTTGGTTTTCTTATTGTTCCTTATGGTATATTTTTAGAGCTTTATTAGGATGTTTGTGAGTGTTCTGGTCTTCTCTGGGCCTTAGCATGCCACCATTTTCCCATAGTTTGGTTATTTATTTCTATGACGGAATTCAGAGGATGCACCCAAGATAAAAGTGTTCTGTATTCACTTAAGCCCTGCCTTTCTCCCTTCTTCTATCTTATTGCTTTTCTCTCCCTCCTCCCTGAGATTGTATCATACCATAGGGAAATTAGGAGTTTCCCGTTGGCCTGTAGGCTAAAATGTACTTTCATGGATGGGCAGAAAGGAACAAGAGTCGTGTGTCACACAAACTTTCCTTCCTCAGTGAATTATACTATGGGAATTGTTTTTTGCCTTACTCTGTGAAGAATGTCTAACTTAGCTGCTTCTTTTAATTTGTCTTCATTCTCAGGATGCTGTATAATATGGTAGATAGGGAACTGAATTTGAATTTGGGAAGACCTGGGTTCAAATGTTACTTCATCTATTTATAGCACTTTCATTTTGGTGTGTGACTTAACCTCTTTGTGCTTTATTATCCTTCTGTAAAATCGTAAGGTAGGACTGGGTGACCTCTAGGCTCTGTTTCAATTGAAAACATATAATCTGATCTCTGTGGTACACAAGGTGGTTCAGTGGAAAGAGTATGATAAGTTACAGTCCTGGTTCTGCCACTAACTAGCTATGTGTCCTTGGGTAAATTTCTTACATTCTGGGCCTCAGTTTTCTTATATGGAAAATGAAAGAGTTGAATTAGTTGACTTCTAATGTCCCTTTCAGCACAAAGTCAATAGTAGTAAGAGCTTCCAATGACCTCCAGTGAAGATTTTGATTAACCTTGTATGTCAGTTTTTTCTTCTTTTTTATGCTAACAATAGCTGATGTTCTTATAGTTCTTTGAAGTTTTAAAAATCTTTTAATATTCTTATTTAAACATCACAACAACCCTGTGAACTAGGTGGTATTGGGAGTATATTCTTCACTTTAAAGATGAAGAAGCTAAGGCCAAGAGAAGGGTAAGAGTGAGATAAGATTCAAACTCTTTCTGCTTTCAATTCTACCATTCTATCTACTACATCACTCTCCCTAGGATTAAACATTGTAGATTCTTAACAAGAATTCTCCTTTGCATATGTCTTCTAGTTGTCTAAAGTCAGTGTGTCCAAGACACTAGTGGAAAAAGCAATAGTCTATGAGCCAAGAGACGAGCATTAGATTTCCAAATTCTGCAAATACTTTTTACCTCTCTAAGCCATTTCTTTCAGTTTGGACAAAACTATCTCTAACGGTTTATGACATCAAATGTGTCTTTGTGAATTTTAGGACCTAGCCTAAACAAATCAACAGCTAACACTTGGTACAGTATTCATAGGATAGGAATCCTTAATTTAGGGTCTGGGAACTTAAGAGAATTTTTTTAATAACCATATTTCAATATAATCAGTTTCCTTGGTAATCTGTATTACTTTGTTTTGTTTATTTAACATTATTCTGAGAAGTCCATAGACTTTACTGGATTAATGAAGAGGTCAGTAACATAAAAATGATTAAGTCCCTTTCATAGAATGAAGTCTGCTCTTATGGAAAGAACGTTTACTCATTAGTCAGAGGTTTGTTCAGTCATTTACAGTCTTGTCCTATTCTTCATAACCCCATTTGGGATTTCCTTGGCAAAGATACTGGAGTGGTTTGCTTTTTCCTTCTCCAGCTCATTTTATAGATGAGGCAAACAGGGTTCAGTGACTTGCCCAGGGTTACACAGCTAGCAAGTGTCTGAAGCCAGATTTGAACACAAGAAGATGAGTCATCCTGATGGCAAGCCTGTTGTTCTATCCACTGTACCAACTAACTACCCCTTGAAGTCAGAGGATCAGATGTTTGCTGTCTGTGTGACCATAGGCAAATAACTTAGCCTCTTTGATATCCTTAACTACAGTTTTTTTAACTACAAAATGAGGAATTAAGACCAGATGGTTCTGAAGGCCCTTATAGCTCCACATCTATGATACTATAGCTCCACCGTAGTCTTACATTTATAGGACATGGATGTGACCCTTTGTTCTCAAAGACTAAGCCAAGAAGTATAAACTATGTTAAGCCCTACTAAGATGGATGTCTAGTGATGGATACAAAGTCTGCTGTCCATATGGTAACCTTCCTAAGATCAGAGTGGCTTAGCACCAGATGACCACGTGATTGTGACTTTTTCAGTCCAAACAACTCATCAAGGCGTCAAGATAGAGAGGATTATTTATTTATTTGAGACTAGGTATGCCTGTCTTACCTCTGTTGAAAGCACAGTTGCTCTATGTTGGCTCAATGGCATTGCTTCTTGATGCAGAAGCTTTGACCCATTCTGTTTCCGAGATGGGCTGGTTCACTTCTGCTTTGGCAGTCCGATGGTCCCTCAATGTCCAGAAGATTACTCTTCTTGGTGCTAGACTTAGCACAGTCACCCAATTGACTTCAGCCCTGCTGCAGCTTAGAACACCTAACCTCAAGCAATCAGCCAGCTTCAGCCTCCCCAGTAACTGAAGATACCGGTTTGCGCCAGCATGCCCAGCCCATCGAGGGCTTATACTCTTCATTGTTGGAGATAGCATTAACCCTGAAAAGATTGTCCAACCTTGAAGTTAGGAAGCAGGAATGTTCTTGAAGTCTTTGAGCTTGTCCTGCGACAGTGGGATTGTCAGGAAAGTTTTGTAGCTGTTAATGATAATTGTGATGATGACTAATGATTTGGTGCCTTGAAAGAAGTCATGAAGAACAATGTTAGCAGTTCTGCCTATGTGCCTGCCTGATTCTGATTACTTCTCTCAAATTCCTCACTATCTTGCTTCCTGCACACCATTATCTGCAAGGATGAAGTGGGGGAAAGTTAAGTGGAATTAAAAAAAACAACAACAACAACAAAGCAGAACATAATTTTCTTTCTGTCACAGCAAGGTATCAAACTTCTCTGGTGGACGCTGCGGCAGAGCAGAAATAACCTGTCAGCCTCCATTCCTTACTCAGTCATCTCCCAGGCACTGGGCCTTAAATGCCAGTTCTCTGCAACAGTAATTACCTCCACTCTCCCTAGCAGTTTCGCTTGATATATCCGAGAGTAATTACTGTACAAAGTCTCACTCCCAAATTTACAAGGGGGAAAACCATGTATTTGCCACTGGGGATCATCCAGCATTCAGAACACACTCTGCAGAGGACAGCACTGATCATGGGAAAACGGGAAGAACTCTTATTACCTTACTGTTATTACCTTTTTTTATTTTCACCATAGTAGGCAAGAGCTGGCTGAGCTTTTACACAGTTGTAGATGAGAGAGAGAACTTTTGAGAATGCCTTCTGTAAGAGTGGCAGAGTTTTACTCATAGGCATACCCTTGTGTGTACCCTTTGTAACTATCTCAACCATCATCTTTTCACAATAATATCACTAATGCTACATCATCATCATCATCATCATCATCATCATCATCATCATCACTAGTTTTCTGTAGTTGGCAAAGTACTTTCCAAGTGTTATCTCATTTGATCGTCACGACTACCCTGGAAGGAGGTGTGATTAATGTGCCCATTTTGCAGATGAGGAACCTGGGGCTAAGTGACTTGCCTAGAGTGACACAGTTCATTAAGCACTTGAGGCTACATTTGAACTCAGGTCTTCCTAACTGTAACTCTAGCACTGCACACGCTGTGGCATGTATAACAAAACCTCATTGCAACATTGTAAAGTCCTAATGTTATGTTAGGCATGGGATTGCCCAAGATGCAGAGCCAATTTTTAGAAACAATATGAGCTAGTCCTTCAAGTTCAGGATTGTTAATGCTCTCATACATTATTCTGCTTACTGTTAATATATTCAGAATGACAGAACCTCAGAATCTGGAAGAGACTTCAGAGGCCACCTGCACATACCTGACCAAAAATCTCTTCTATAACATCTCTACCAAGTGACCATCACCATCAAACCTTCATTTCAAGTATTTCAAGTACTCCAGGGAGGGTTTTGCCCACCACCTCTCAAGGCAGCCACTTCTGCTTTGGATTAGCTCTAAATAACGGGAAGTTTTGTCTTACACTGAACCTAAATTTGGTTGTTTGCAACTTCTACCCATTTTTCTGCCCTCTAGGCTCTAGCACTTTATTAGGTAAGGATGATACTTATGATACTGAAGAAATTACTAGAATCATCATATATTTTAAATGTAAAATTTATTTAGCAGCTTATGTTTAATATTTGTTACAATTATATAGATTATGTATCATGCCTCTGAAAGGTCCATTTTGCTCTCTTATAGTCCAAAGGTATGCCATCTGGAAGCATATTTTTCATTTATAATATTCCTGTTGAACTGAGGGCCTCCGGTACTATTTCATCTAAGGTCAGTTTTCACAGAACCAATTAACCACATTAGGCATGGTGGCCCCCTATTCCTGTCCCAAGATTTAGAGTTGCATTTAGTTGGATGTATATACAATTAGTACTTAGCCAGAACTGGTTCCTTTGCTGAATACTGTTTCCCAAGAAAACATGAGAAGAGAAGATAGTGAGCTCAGTTCTCTAACCGTTTTTATTCCTTATCTTGGTTTTTGCCTTTCAGAAATATCAGGGAACACAGAAGACATCCCTCTAGTGCGCTGGCGGCAGCAATGGCTGGAGAATGGCACTCTCCTCTTCCATATCCACCACCAGGATGGTGCCCCAAGTCTTCCTGGCCTTGACCCAACAGAAGAGCCCCAGAGTGAGTCAGCTGAGGAGGAGCTGAGGATTCTCCACATCTCTGTCATGGTAAGACTAGATTGGCTAAGTGACTAAAGCACACGTAGAATATTTCCCTGTCTTGTCTTTATATATCTTGGGTGCCAGGGGGTGCTGGTTTGAGATGACTTGACTCTAGGGTCTTCATCAGTCATATGAGTATAAAGAAAGACATTATGGTTGAGGCATGTGCCTCACCATAAAGAGCCAATGGAAGTGCTTGACTCAGTGTGTGCCAGTACATATGGTCTATTCTTTATGACTAGACATGCTAGTAACTCCATGTGACCAATACTATTCTTTAGGCACTGGTCGAGCGACTTGCCCAGGGTCACACACATAGCTAGTAAATGGATGAGGTAGGATTCAAATTCAGGTCTTCCTGACTGAGTCCAGCACTATATTTACTATAACACTTAGTTACATCAGAAACTTATTGTACGGTTTACTGAGAGTCCCACTGGGGAGGGATCCATAGTTAAGAGTGTGGTCCACTTTCTAGCTCTGATAAAGGGCTTCTCTCTCAGCCTCTCCTCTTCCCTCAGTTTAGATCTTCTAAATCAGCATTTCCACGTCTGGCCTCATCTCCAAATTTAAGCCTTTTGGGAAACAACAGGTATCTCCTTCATTAAAGCAATTCTGCTTTGAAGATAAGCTGTTTTATATGTAATAGCATTGTAAACTTCAAATATCATTAGAAGTGCTCATGAAAAGTACATTTAAAAAGACATTTTGATATTTTAATGTCATGAAACACTCCAGATTTGATGCTTCTAAAATAGGTAGAGGTATCTCTCATCTCATAATTGGTTACCATCACCAATACTGTTCAACCTGTTTGCTAGGACTGAGAGGGACTGAGTACCATTCGAATATGTAAATATCTCATTGGCTCAGTGTTAAGAAATTGTTTTTCTTAGGAATTTCTAGTGGTGTAACATATCTCTTTGTATGTAGCCTCAATGGCTGTCCTGAGCTCCTTTCAAAGGTATCACATATTGAGCTGTTCTGTACTAAGAGATGGACCTGAAAAGATTCTTACAGATCCAAATGGTCAGAGAATCATAGAATTAGAATTGGAATCATCCTCAAGTCAAGCCGCATCACTTTATGGATGAGGGAGCTAAGTCTCAGAGAGATGCCAGGGTCTTTCAAGGTCATGGTATAACTAGCAGATTTGGGAATTCAACCCAGATCCTTTGTCTCTAAAACCAGTTGGCTTTCCATTGTACCATGGGGCCTCCCAAACCACAGGATTCATATGAGGATTCATGTGTTTTCTTTTACATGATGACTAATGTGGAAATATGTTTCACATGACTGCACATGTATAACATATCAAATTGCTTGCCTTCTCAACTGAGGAGGATAGGGATGGAGAGAGAGAGTTTGGAACTAAGTTTTAAAAACAAATGTTGAAAATTGCTTTTACATGTAATTGGGGAAAAATAAAATACTAAATAAAAAAAATAAGGACTATACAAAATAAAACTGAAGAGATAGGGGAAAAAAGATTCACATGAGGCAGGAATGCAGGTGGATGCCTAAGATCATTGTGTTTCATGACCATACATCATGGTTGAAGAGATTAGGCAATGGTGGAATCCTTGATATTCCTAACCTTACCCACTCATAAAAAAAATAGCAAAAAGACTTGTGACCCCAGCTGCTTTAAAGAATTACTGTGTGTCATAGCAATGAAGGTACACTTAAAAAGAAGGAATGTGATTAGAGACACTCATGTGACTAGTACAGTACCACTTTTTTTATATGATAAAGATCTAGAGTGAGCAGAGTCTGCATGGCACACAGTGTTAGCTTTGTTAGAAGGGATTTTGGGATGATTAAATATGGGAATAAAGTACAAGGAGGCCCTATTAGCTATCAGCAAGTGATAATTTTCACACTACTAGCCTAGGCCAGAGTACCCTAACACCTGCCCTCAGAACTAGAGGTATCAATGGACTTCCTGGAAGGCTGTCTGTGTGTTACTGGGAAGAGGAGTTTGGAGAAAGAATTAAGCAGCAGTTTGAAGATTTCAGAGGATTTGGGGAGTTCACATAAGTAGTGTGGAGCCATGATCCTGGATTTGGAGATAAAGCATTAGGTTTAGGTACTGATTTTGCCACTTACTACCTGTATCCCCTTGGGCAAATCCAAATAATCTTTCTTTGTCACTGTTCCTGTATTTTATAAATGAGAAGGGATGGATTAGATGATCTTTCCACTTCTAAATCTATGATCAGAAGCCCCAGACTAATTGTGCCTTATTGATAAGATCAAATGATGACTTTTCTTGAAGTCATGCAATTGAAAACTGGTCTGGGGCTAAAGATGCTAAAATTAAAAGAGAAAGTGCTGTAAATTCCCCATCTCCCTCATTTCTATATATGAGTGACTTCATATGACTCATTCTAGTTTTTAAAGAACACATTTCTGACCGTCCATTGAATTTCATTGTTATTTCAAATGGTTTGTGTTGTTGTACACAGGAATATGTCGTAGGCAAATTTTTGTTGAAGGTAGTCTACTTTTGCTCTTATATATTTTATATACTGAACCAGGGATGAACTGAAAATTCTCATGATAAACTCAAAAGGTCTCTTCACTTTGTTAGAAGAGAGAACAGGGCTGCCTAGAGGCCAAAATAGTCTAGAACAGAAGTTCTTAGCTTGAGGACGTTTGACTCCCCAAGTAGTGTAATTATAGATTTCAGGAGATCACTCATCTTGGATTGGAAAAATAGATTGTTTTTAACAACCTTTAACTGAAATTTAGAATTTTTTTGATTATTTGCAAAAACATTTTCTCAGGAGGCCAAAGATTTCGCCAGAATGTTAAAAGGATCTGTGATGGAAAAAAAAATATTAGAACCCCAGGCCAGAGGATAGATACTCACTCACATGCTTATCAAGAATCTTTTTATTTAACTTGGCCAGCTCAGAGCTCTTTCTCTCACCCTGCACCCAGTACCCTTTTTCTCTCTTTAATATTCTATTCTAGACATCTTTTCAAAGGCTTGAGTTGAATATCTTGCCTTGGCTTAGAAATGAAACCTGAGGGTTTCCTGTTTGAAGGCTTCTTTTCTTAAGGTCCCTGCTGACTTCTTGAGAATCTCAGGGATTGGTGCACTTCATTTGATAAACTTTGTGCAGCACTACTCAGAGGTGGAAGTCAGCTTTTTGGGGCACTTGAAATGAAAGCATAATACTATATAAAGAGACAGGGAAATCCTTTTTACATTAATGCTAATAAGGATGGGCAGTGAAATACACAAGTGAAATCTCACTGCCTAAACCTGTTAGTAGTTTTAAAAATATCAATAGTCATATTTTTTGCATTAAGTGCAAAAATCAATATTGATTCAGTTTTCAGTTTGGGAATAAATTAAAATTGCATAGTCTGGGAAATAGAAAAGTTAAGGTTATCAAAACATGTATGGTCACATTTTTGTTCAACTGTATACAAAAACATGTATACCGAAAAGCTTAACTACTAATATGTGTAGAGGGAATTAATGTATTTTTGAAAACCTTAATGTTTGCGGTTATTTCTGGTTTCCACTTTAGCTCAATGCAGAGCTTCCTGATTCCTATTATGTTTTATATTTAATTTATTTTAGTTTTAAATATCAAATATAAATAAGAGAGGATAGAAAGCCAAAAGAAAAGGGGAAAAAAAACTTATTTGCTGGAGAGGAAGTGTGGCTCAATAGAAAGAGAGCCTGCCTGGGAAACAGGAAGGTCTGTGTTCCAGAAGTCCCATTGATACTTCCCTGGTTTGTGTCACTGTAAAAACCACTTAAATTCTCAGTACTTTGGACTATTCCCAAAGACTGCATTGCAGAATAGTTGCTAATCTTTGGTAGAAGAGGTTTTTTATTCCAATGCAGTTACAGGTCTACCATACTTTACTTTTTACCCTCAAATATGAGTTGCAGCCCTAAAGTAAAATCACTTTGACAGGGGTCAAATAATTCACTTAAAATAATATTAGGAATAGGCCACTCCTCGATTTTATAAAAACCATTTTGGGGTGGGGGGTGGCTTATGGAGGCCAAAATGGTAATTCATTTGAAGGCAAAATGATATAATTTTACTGGTTTCATGATTTACATAAAATTGGATTATTATAGATTATACAAGTCATTTTGCAATTAGAAACATATAAGGAACTTTTTGGTCCACAAGGGAACTTATAATAAATTGTCATAAATTATTGAGTAAAAACAGATTCCTAAAATTTAAGATGATGCATAATTTGGAAATGAAGGTAAAGGAACCTTTCTTCAGTTGCAGGGCTACCTGGATTCTCCACAGGTAAACCAGATATAATGCTATTTGAACTATATATGCAATATGAAATGTATAATTCTATAGTTGTTTGAGGAAAAGCATGTTTGAATGCAAAGTTCTTTACAGTGTTATCACCTCCTTACTTCATAATGACATTGCTTTCATCTTGAAGAATTTGAAATGGTTTATTTGTAGGTAGTCAATGATTGCTTTGCTTGGTATTCAAAGGTTAATGGCTTGATTACCTAACTGGGTGTATTTTGTAGCACTTCCTATCGGAAGTCTATTTGAACATCTTTCTTTTATTCTTGCTGCTGATAGAGAATGCCTCTGCTCTTTTTCTGCTGTGTATCCCACCCTCACTGTAGCTGCTGTCTCTACCCTTAGTGTCTAAGGTATTTCCTCCACCATTGTTGTTAATTTACTTCCTCCTTCTAGTCACTTAGGTTGAAGGTGCCTTTGTGGGCCATGAATGATACAATAGAATGGCAGGATCCTTTCCTGGACCTAGCTTTCCATCTGGAGTGCTTCTCCTCTAGCTTTCCTTCCAGGATGAAGATCAGTTCTAGTGCTGACCCTTTCTCCTTGGCGGCCTTAGTACTCCTGCTCTCTCACATGACTGGTTTTCACATGCTTCCGGATCATAACCTCCATTTCTCAGGACACTGACTCACTAGAATACATATTTATATTGAAAACAAAACAAAATAAAGCAAAACCAAACCAAACCTCTAT